AGAGAGAGAGAGAGAGAGAGAGAGAGAGAGAGAGAGAGAGAGAGAGAGAGAGAGAGAGAGAGAGACAGAGAGAGAGAGAGAGAGAGAGACAGAGACAGGGACAGAGACAGAGACAGGGACAGAGACAGAGACAGACAGACAGAGACAGAAATAGACGGGTAGGAGTGGAATAAAACAGTTGTTTCAGAAATATTCCCAGACAGTAAGTCCATCTCCTCTTCTGATATTAATCAGGAAATCAAACTGCTGACCTCCTCTCTTCATTTGATAATTTCATAAAAATCTAAACTTTTGTAATTACCACCCAAAAGAGAGCACAAGAGGATCCCCAGAGTTAATGTTTCAGGTTAATCAAAATAGTCTCTTGTCCGAATTTCCTTTTCACATTAGGATCTTTGTGTGATAAGGCTTTTTATGCATGTGCATATGCAAAAAGTTTAACGTCCACACAAGGATTGATTCTATCCATACAAAGGATGAAAGAAAAGCCTGTAAATCTCATTAGAATGAGATGATTCAGATTTACAGCTCTGATGATAATGTGATTTAACCAATAAACAGTCTTATTCAGAGGGCACTTCACTTCACTGAATGCAGTTAGTGAGGCTTCTTTTCAATTAAATGTTTATCAAGTCAGGCACACAAGCCAATTTATTGTATGCATAAAAATGAAAAATTATAATGGTGAGTCATGCTAGTCTCTCTGTTTCTTTGGGTAAAGCCAAAGGAGGATTAGTCATCTTTCTCAAGACAATAAAGCTATAACAGTGTCTGAATCATAAATAGCAAAACAAAGCTTGAGGCACAAAATAAAATTACAGGATAAAAATAACTTCTTTTTTTCTAAGGTTTTTTTATTTGTGTATTTATTTTATATGTGTATGCATGTATGTATGTGTGAAGTGCTTACAAAAACCTGAAGAGGTCATCAGATATCTTAGACCAGAAGTTACAGGTGACTGTAAGCCACCCCACATGTACTTTATTTACCTGGTTTGGTTGTTTACATAATTTTCTGTCATCTAGATCAATATTCACTAACAAGAATGCATGCAATATGATATCACATTTACTATTACAGTTTAACATTGTTTCTACACATGTTCTGTTTTTAGGAAAGAAACCCAATCACTCTGTTGCCACAGAATGGAAGAAAGGAAAGTACGATGACCTATGAAGCTAGGAAAAAGGGTGCTAGGAGGTGCCCCGAGTTTCCAGAGAACTTAGCACTGTTCCATTGGTAGAATGAGAACTTTGAGAAACATCTGTCTTCAGCAGAATCATCCAGGCTTTTGAACTTGGTAATGATATTATAATCCAAAAAGTTAACACTCAAGAAATGTGTTATTAAGATACAACAGAAACTCAAAAACTCATAATGGCTTAAGGAAGCTTACAATTTGATATGATGCTCATAGCTATCCTTGACTGTACATAGCCAGCAGATCATGAATGGACATACCCTGCCATAATTGAGAATGTTTGGTGGGTAAGTTGTTTCTTCTAGTGACTCAGATAATCTGATTTTATATAGATAGATAGATAGATAGATAGATAGATAGATAGATAGATAGATAGATAGATACACACATATATATATGATGTATATATATATACATCATATATATATGTGTGTATCTATATATCCTAAAATTTAAAAGCTAACCATTAAGATTTTTTCTTTTTCTTTTTCTTTTTTTTTTTTTTTTTGCTTTAGAGTGTACTTTTAAAGTTTGTAATCATTAGATTCTTTGGGGGAGAGTTAAACGTTCTTAGGTCATTAGATAATACAGTACATGGAAATCCGAGACTCATGAAAGAAATGTTTAATAAAAATTAATTCAAGCCTTTGACAGTCGTGTCCACTCAGAATCTCTGATAGGACACAGCTGAGTGGTACTGAACAATACACATGTAGCCCAATATTTCATGCTCTACGCCAATTTCTTTTTAAACAACTGAGAAGGTTTGTATTTAGTTATCCAAGTAAAATAGCCTTCTAGGACACTTTCAAATTAAAAAACGATGAGAAAAAAAATACTGAATTTAAGATACTTACCTCTTAAGTTAGACCTGATTCAAAGTCAAAAGACCTTAAATAATGAGGACCTTGTAGTCGTTAGCTCTTCTCTAGTTGCCTTTAAAAAATCTATTAAAATCACAGTGGGAAAGAATCCATAATTATTAATTCAATATCAAATAAAAACTTTAGATGACTACAAGCAAAGACATTATTACATCTTTAAATTACCAAGCCCTTTAGTATGTGATCAGCTACATTTGGTCTCATAGAACCCACAGTCGCTCTGGTTTCCCATGGATGGTTTAGGCATTAGATCATTGAGCATTGGAAGATGGTGAAGGGACCAGAAGTGCTGGTTCTATTACTAGTCCTGTTGGCTGCTCCTGAGACTTCAACTCTAATTACAGTTCTATACACTCAACATCATTAAGTCAAATTAATAATCATCTCAATAAACCCAAGGTTTTGTTGGTTAATATTATTTCCTCTTTCCCAGTCACCACCCTTCACACAATAGAAGATTATATACTTTAAGATTTTATATCGAAAATACCTTTGGATACCTTTCTGGTGTCCAATTGCTTCTCTTGCTCTCTAGGACCATCCAGATGGCTTGGCAGTTAGAAGCTCTTGCCAACAAGCCTAGAAGTCTAAATCCAAGTCTAGGAATCCACATGGAATGAGGTAACCTTCTCTGCACTCATCCTCTGACCTCTGTATGTAACACACACACACACACACACACACACACACACACACACACACACACACTGCAATAAAGATTGTAAAGGGTTATCTATACATAATAAATATGACCCAAGTACTCTGCCTGACACTTAAGATTGAGATTTTTTATTAACCATCACCTGTTTCCTAATTTTTTGTTCTGTTTTTCAATTATTCTATTCATTGAGCAATATGAAGACCAACTCTCTATTACCTCCATCAAAAGAAAAAAAAATCTTCTCCTTTGGAAACTGTGTATGAAGCTTTTTTACTTTTCTCTATTTTTTTTTTTGCATAATTGTGTAAGTAGGTGCTGTTTTCTGAGCAGCCCAGGTATTTGGGAGGCATCCTTTCATTGATCTTTTATCTCCATCAATTATCACAGTTTCTGTATATCTGAAGGTGTGGATAATAGCATACTAAGTTGTAAAAATTACATTTCTATACTACTTTTAATTTATTGAACAATCTTATCCAGGAATAAAAAAGCATTAGTTCTTCTGCTCATAACAAATGTTTGTGTTTTTACACATCTGCTACAAGAGATGGATTATCAATCAACAAATTTATATCAAATATCTCCATGTGTAGTATGAAGTACAGAAGAACAAGGTGAACAGGTAGGTATTACACCAATCCTCTCTGAATGTTTGTTCTGATGAAGGAAATAAAAACACAAGAAAGCAAACAAAGTAACTTCGGGAAATATTAAGTGTCCTGAAAGAATGAAAGAGAGGAACTAATTCCAGGAAATTTCTTTATAGGGCACCTAGCAATGTTATGGACGTCAGGGCCAGCTTCTGTGTAGCCTCTAAGGAGGATCAGGAAAAGAGGTGAGATTACCATAGGTACAGAATTTATAGTTTTAATCCTATTCAGCTTCTCTTTCACAAAATATTTTAACATAACTTGCTAACTTTGGTTACTTTGGTTTCAAAATAAAACAAAAAGCAAAGAGAAAAAGAAAAAGACATCCACTACCTCAGATATTTCTGGAGCCAGGCACTCCTACCCTGCCAGCATTTACTTGAGAGGAGTGGATTTCAAGATAGAAGCAGCTCAGCCAGAAAGAAAACTGCAAAGAAATTCTGTGAGGTGGTTTCCCCAGTAACTACGCATTTCACAGGACACCAATGACTTCAAAGGACAAAAAGGAAATGGGGATGCTGTAACTGATGGAGGCTGGGCTTTCTCTGAGCTTCACGCTTGGTTCTAGTCTGCACTGACATCATTGGCCAAAGTCTTTTATTTAGAAACATATAACTCCTGAGCTAGAGCTGTGTCTGGAACCCCAGGAGTCTGATATGGCAGGGGTCCAGCAAATACCTCCTAGTCCGACCTATGCTCTTCTCCCAACCCGGCAGGGTCTCCTTTCTCACCTGCTGCTCCACGGTCTGCACCACCCAGACGCAGCTCATCGCCCGACTCTACTCCCAAGACCTTTCACCCTTCATTTACTGTGTGCCCCCCTTAATACTACAACTCACCCGGCGACCCTTGTTGCAGCAGCTGCTGCCACCGCCACCTGGAGCTGCCTGGAGCTTCCGCCTTGGTCCCCTTGGTTACAGCGTTGCATCGGTACCCATAGCAACCAGAATGCTTAGGCTTGGTACTGCTGCTGGCCACCTCCAGAGGGAGGAAGAGAGTCTATGATGTGTGAGAGAATGGGAAGATCCTAGGGAAGGAAAATGCAAAGAAATTCAACTGGTGTGTGTGTGGGTGTGTGTGTGTGTGTGTGTGTGTGTGTGTGTGATAGTTCTCTTGACCTCAGCCTGGACTGATTTACTTTACTGATCCACTATAACACTGCAACTATGGATCAACGATTCCTACGTGTACCACTCAGCTAATCCTCATAACAACCCAATTTATGTGTGAAAATTAAGGCACAAAGAATTTAAGTAATTTACAGCAAATTAAAAAGCTAGCAAATTGAAGGTCCACAAATTAATTTTAGCTGTTTAACTTCGGTAATCCCCCTCACCCATGAATAACATTTCACTGCTTTCAAAAGGCTTGCAAGAGTACAGGACAAGGAATCTAGTTCTCTTGGCAAGTCCAGAACTCACTTGATACCAACTACTTGATCCATGAGACTGTATTTTAGACATGTCTATAAAGATATCATGTGCATACATAGAAAAAATACACACAGATAATTCATACATCAAATGTTTTTTTAAGTTGCTTTTTGACAGTTTCATACATTGTGTATAACCTAATTATCTCCCTCATTTCCCTGCCAATACTCCCTACAAACCCCTTTGCTACCCACATTCAAGTCTTTTTGTTTTTTGGTCAAGTGAGTAGCCAAGAGTATTTGTGTGTCTATGGGTTTGATATTACCCCTGGCACTTGGCAGGTTCACCAGTGGGCACAAAACTAAAGACAATGACTGCCCTTCTCCCCGAATCTCAGTAGCTAATGAATGAGACAGGAGAGATAGGGCCAGGCAACTCGTCTCTCTCCATGACTAACTGTTGACAGGGCCAGTTGTGTGCAGCCCCTTATCAAGATAACCACAGTTGTTATGCATTCATGACTACAGTGAAGGGCTGCGTCCGGCCCATAAGATGGCTTTACACAACCCTTTGCATGATCTTCCAGCCCTTACATTTCTCCTGTGCTTTCTTCCACCCCATTCTCTGAGCCTATGGGAGGTGGCACAAATACCTTGTTTAGGTCTGAGCACTTATTTGTCACTTACTCTCAGCGTGTGGAGCAGCTGTGAGTTTTGGAATCCACTGATGTTCACTGGAAAGAGATTGACTGAGAGTAACATTCATCTACAGGTACACACAGGTATTTATCAGGTAGTTTGGCACGACATCAATTGACCTAAAGAATGTTAAGTTCCCCCCTAAAGTCTATGAGATTCCAAGCCATGTGTTTTATTGGGTTTACAGTACCAGGCATGGGTTGCCTCCAGAGAAGCTGGCCTCATTTTTGATCAGAAAGTTGTTGGTTATCCCTGTAACACTCACACCACTATTACACAGATGGGTATATCTTTATGAGCAGGTTGGTAATGTCAATTACTGAGTTCAGAGCTGAGTAAGACTGTCCTTGACTTATCTTTTCACTAGCCTTCATAGTACTTTGCAGGACTCTGAAAGCTAGCCAACAGGTAGGAAGCTTCCAACTTAGTTTCATTTCTTTATATATCTATACCATGCAACCAAGATGTGTCATGTCTGCAGCAATAGGATTGTGTTGGTTTGAGTGAAAATGTCCCCCATAGGCTCATAGGGAGTGGCACTATTAGGAGGTATACCCTTATTGGAGTAGGTGTGGCTTTGTTGAAAGAAGTGTGTAACTGGGGGTGGACTGTAAGGTTTCAGATGCTCAAACAAGGCCCAGTTTTTGTCCTCTCTACCTGCTGCCTGCCGATCCAGATATAGAACTCTTGGATCCTTCTCCAGTACCATATCCACGTGTGTGCCACCATGCTTTCCACCATGGTGATAATGAACTAAATCTCTAAACTATAAGCCAGCCACAGTTAAATGTTTTCCTTTATAAGAGTTTCAGTGGTCATAGTATCTCTTCACAGCAACAGAAATCCAAATTAAGACAAGGATAGTATCAACCAAGAGAAATAGCAAGAGGGTATAAGGTTGTGAGGCCATCTGGGTCACCCCTGACTGGCAATACTCATAAGAACACATCTGCCATTGGGGTTTGTATTTAGTAATTCATGGCTAGAAGCAGCACTACCCAGACATGTATGATCTCTTATAATTATTTTAATTATATTTTATTGGATTATAAGATAATAGGTTTCCATATTGCTTTTCGTATACCTTTTATTTTTGATTAACCCTCTCCTAAGCCTCCTTGTCTCTATCAGGCCCTCTCCACTTCTCTTCCTGCTTAAACTTTTCTATTTCCACTTTTCCTGGCTCCCAGAGATATTATAATTTACAATTTTTTTTTTTTTTTTTGGAATTTCAAGACAGGGTTTCTCTATGTAGTTTTGGTGCCTGTCCTGGATCTTGCTCTGTAGACCAGGCTGGCTTCGAACTCAGAGATCCACCTACCTCTGCCTCCCAAGTGCTGGGATTAAAGGCGTGCACCACCAACCGGCTGAGATACTATAATTTAAAAACACAAAACTAAAGATTGAATCTAGGAATCACATATGAGAGAGCTAGAGCTTTTGTCTGGGCCTGGGTTAACCGACTGAATGTAATGTTTTTACAATCCCATCCATCATTTTTCTTTACAACTGAGTAAAATCCCACTATGAATATGTACTACAATTTGATTCTTCCATCTATCAATTGATTGAGATCTAGGCTGCTTCTCTTGTCCAGCTATTGTGACTAGAGCAGCAATAAACACTGATGTGTAAGCATCTCTGCAGTAGGGTTTTGAGTACTTTGGGCATGCCCCATGAGTCATGGGCTCAGTCATATGGTGGCGGCTCTTTCTAGTTTTTGTTGGTTTGTTTTCGACAAACTTCTGGGCTACTTTCAAAAACATCTGTACTACTGAAACATTTTTGTTCTGAGCAGAGAGATTGCTGTAGTGATCTTACTTTATTTTTGGTTTCTAAATAGTGTTTTTTCCCATTAAATCTCTGTATTTATAGACTACAGGTAGAAAATGTGATTGATTCTGCAGTAAGTTCCCCTATAACCTTGTATGCTTAGCCACACTGCATCCATCATAGTACTAGACACATATTCTTTCCCATTAAAGTTACTATGGTAACCTCTGCACCATTACTCTCCTGTACCAGCCAGCCTCCATTTGAGAAAAGAATTCAGTGTTTTCGTTTTGCACATTGGGTAAAAGGACAATCATTCTTGCTAAGAAAAGGTATGAAGCTGGGTTTTCGAGTCAGATATACTTGAATTTTAGGTATGATCTTATAAAATTTATTTGCTATGTCATAATATATGGTAGAGGCTAACTTGTAGGGGAAGGGAGCTGGCTAAAGAAACTCAGATCAGAGCCATCTCTGCCCCTGGCCAACTGACCTGTGAAACCAATCAATCACAGAACAGGAAAGTAGTACCCTGGCCCTGGAGCCCAGAACCAGGGAAAGAAACACAGTCTGGGGCTGGGACCTGAGCCAGAGAAAGAAACACTTTATCCCTAAACCCAGAACCAAGGAAACATACCCTAACTCTGAAACCAGTACCAAAGAAACATTCTTGGTCCCTAGAATCAGGGTCAGTGAAAGAAATGTGTCCTGGCCTTAGAACTGGTGTCAAAAAGCTAAGAAAGCCCAGTGAGAGAAACAGTTTGGCTCTAAAATCAGGGCCATCTCTCTCTCTAGCCCACAAAACTGACCAATTCCTGGTCAGAAAAAAACTAACCAATCCTGAGTTGACTCCACCCCCAAGACATCCTATATAAACCACCCTGCCTGGTCCGTTTTGGGCTATTCTCTCCACCCTGGTAAAGGCAGCTACTCTCCTGGATGCTTTCTTCCCAAATAAATCTTTTTCCAAAAGAGATTTGGGTGTGAAGATCTTCATTCACTGGTGCAGAGAAGAACCTTGCTGAGATAGCCCATAGTGGACAGAGCACTGGTCTAACTTGTCAAATAATATACCAGTCTATACATCTTGTAGTGTATTAAATATAGCAAAAACACATAACTTATTAAGTCCCTAGCCCTAAGCTAGACACATAGTAAGTACTTTTAAACAGTAAAAATGGTGCTGTGGCATTGGTAATTGCTATTGCAGATTCAGTGATATGACTTCTCTTAATGCTTCCTTTAAACCTGGTAAAAAGACGGATTTTAAGTGGTTAGATAAAACTTCCAGGTTTTTTGTGTACAGTATCCTTTGGTTAACCTCATACTCTTCAAATCACTAGCAAACGTATCTTCAACATTCATTTACTATTTCATTACTTTACTTCCATGTATTCAACAAATATTTTCTGATAGTCCTTTTTCCTAGGTAACAAAATATAAAAACACTAAACTGGAATCTATAATACATATGCATAGGACCTGATGCAGACTCGTGCAGACCCCATGCTTGTTGATCCAGTCTCTGTGAGTTCATATGAGCTGTGATCATATTGATTTAGAGACCTTTGTTTTTTCTTAGTATCCTCCATCTCTTCTGGCTTTTACATTCTTTGCACCTCTTCTTCTCTGAGTTCTCTAGCCCTAAGGGGAGGGATTTGAAGGAGACATTCCATTTAGGGCTTAATGTTCTGCCTGTTTGTTTTCTAATGAGATGAAGAAAGACAGACAGACAGAAACAAAGAAACAAAGAACATAGCAGCACTATTTGCAATAGCCAGAACCTGGAAACAACCTAGATGCCCATCAACTGAAGAATGGATTAAGAAAATGTGGTACATATACACAATGGAGTACTACTCAGCAGAGAAAAACATTGAGAGCATGAAGTTTGCAGGCAAATGGATGGAACTAGAAAAAATCATCCTGAGTGAGGTAACCCAAACCCAGAAGGACATTCATGGTATGTCCTCACTCATAAGTGGATTCTAGATATAAAGTAAAGAACAATCAGACTGCAACCCACAGAACCATGGAAGCTATATATATAGCATAGGGGACCACCCTAGGATGACTATTG